TTGTAAATTTTTTGCATCTTTTCATCTTCTATTTACTGGTTTCTTTTTATCTAGTTTTATTGGCTGAACTCTCCTCAAGACAGAATAAAACAAGTAAAGATTACCTGTCTGTCCACACATAGCTGGAGATAGGCAGACTTTCTTGCCAGATGAAATTGTAAAAAAGGTCTTGAACATGTTTTCCCCTGCTTTGGTATTGTATGAGTTACAGAATTTTACATTTTAGCTTGGGCTGGTTAAGATAATAAAATCCCCAAAAAACTCTGAACAGCAAAACTGTCTTTAGAAGGAAGGCAATGGGAGAGAAAATATACCAAGAGCCCAAAGTCTTTACCCAGTAGTTATAGTTTAGTTAGGATACAAAACATCCTCCTTTAAAAATTTTTTTTTCCCAGGGGAGAGCGTGAACACAGTCCCCCACTACCACAGACTATGCGGCAGGGTTTCCCACATTTGGGGAAATGGCAGGGGTCAGCACATCCGGAGTGCAATCAGCCTCGCCCTGGAAAAACACCTTCGTGATCACGGCATCTCCCCCGCCTCTCTCTTTTTTGCATCTTTTCAATCTTTTTATATACAGTTTTGGAGATATAAACACAATAATAAAATATTTGGTAGAATTCACTAGTGAAGAAACATAGGCCTAAAGTTTTCCTTGTGCCAAGAACATTTTGTAGTAAGAAGTTAAATACAAATGCCATTTATTTAAGTGTGTGTGTGTGTGTGTGTGTGTTTGTGTGTGAGAGAGAGAGAGAGCGAGAGAGAGAGAGTCCTAGGGTTTGAACTTAGGGCCTTGTACTTGCTAGGCAGATGCTCTCTCACTGGAGTTACACTCTTTTGATTTTAGAGTTTTGGTGTGTATTTTCTTTTGTGACAGCCTGGGGCACAAACTCAGGGCCCCTGAGCTTTTGTGCTCAAGGCTAGCACTCTACCACACTCTACCAAGTGAGCTACAAATCCACTTCCAGGTTATTTTGTGTGTGTGTGTGCTTGACTGGAGATAAGAATGTCACAGACTTTCCTGCCTGGCTGGCTTTCAATTGTGATCTTCAGCTCTCAGCCTCCTAAGTAGCTAGGATTACAGGTGTGAGCCACCAGTGCCTGCTTGCTTTAGTTATTTTTGATAGGGTCATACTTCTTGATCCAGGCCAGCCTCAACCATAATCTTCCTACCTTTACCTCCCTCCTCACTGGATATAGGTATGAGCCACCATACCCAGCTTGTCTTTTGAGGTTGAGTAATGCTAACTTCCCCTTCCCCTGTTCTTGGAACCACAATCCTCTCATCTCTGTCTCCTAAGAAGCTGGGATTCAGGTTGAGCCATCACATTTGGCTTGAGAAAATTTCAATAGTTTGCGTTTTCTGTGTCTTAGTCCATTTTTTTTACTGTTATGCAGAGTATATCAGATGAAGTTAATTTTTTTTTGTATGGCAGTCATGGGGCTTGAACTCAGGGCCTGGGCTCTGTCTGTGAGCTTTTCTACTCAAGGCTAGTGCTTAACCACTAAATCACAGCTCCACTTCTAGCTTGTTGGTGGTTAATTGGCGGTAAGAGTCTCATGGACTGCACAGGCTGGCTTTGAACCATGAGTCTCCTATCTCAGCCTCCTGAGTAGCTAGGATTATAGGTGTAAGCCACAAGCATCTAGCAGAGGTTATTTTTGAATTGTTATTATAAAGGTGAGGTACAGAAGGGTTACAGTTACATACGTCTTGTAACGGATATATTTCCTTTTGGACAATATCACTCCTTCTCTCACTTATTCCCAGTTTTTCCCTCCCACCCCCATCCACAAGTTGTATAGTTCATTTCCAACATAATAAGGTCAATTTTTTTTTTTTGGTCCGGTCGTGGGGCCTGAACTCTGTGCCTGGGCACTGTCCCTCAGCTCTTCAGCTCAAGGCTAGCGCTCTACCACTTGAGCCACAGCGCCACTTCCGGCTTTTTTCTTCTTGCATATGTGGTGCTGAGGAATTGAACTCAGGGCCTCAGGCATGCAAGGCAAGCGCTCTACCACTGAGCCACCTTCCCAGCCAAGGTCAATTTTTTTTAGAACCAGAAGTTTATTCTCTCATTTCTGGAGGCTAGGAAGTCCAAAATAAAGTACCAGCATTTGATTAAAAAAAAGTCTTCTTGCTGTATCCTCATATGTCAAAAAGTGCAAAAAAGAAAAAAAAGGCACAAAGAGGTTGAATGCTGTGGATTCTGAGGATTAACTTTCTGAATACACAAAATTTGAGGGAACATATTCAAACCACAACAGTCCATTTCACTAAGTTGTCAATTATGATCTTCATATTATATATTAATTTGCCTTCTTTATGTCTCCTCTGTTCCCTATTTTACTATAACTTCTTAGAATATAAAGGATTCTGTCTTTATGAAGATCCCCTTTTGGTGAGATGTGTCTTTGGTCTGGCATAAATCAAATCAAATCAAATTTCTTAGCTAGGTTCCTTGGGCTTACTAAGATTTCCATAAGAGAAGTACATGTCTCTGAAAGTGAATCAAATTTTAAGTGGGAGACTCATTAGATTCTCATCAATGCCTAATAATAGAGACTTGTTGGGTTTTAGAGACCAGTTATTCTCAAATGTACATGGATAACCTAATACCCTATAGCTTAAGGATTAAGTTTAATAATTAATATATAGGTTGCTGGATTCTGCTTCTAGAGATTTTAATTTATTAGGTCTGGGGCGATGCCAGGAAATATTTTTTTTGCAAGCTCTGAGAGATCCTGATATGAGGTCAGTATTGAGAGCCACTAGAACAGACTGACTGCCAGGCAGCGAGACTTACAGAATTGTTCAATGGGCATGTGCTGCCCTCTAGTGCCCAGAAATTCTGGCTGTGGGAATGAATAAAGATGCTATTGCATAAAAAATTAGTGATTGGTCTCTGTCCCAGTACCTTGGTACATCTGAAGTATTCACTGGTATTTTCTGACTAAGACACACAATCAAACTCATTCCTAAGGCTAATACAGAGGGACAAGACTCACATTACTAGCATATCTATCAGGATTTTTTGCTTAGAAAGCTGTATAACCCATAATACTGATAGTCAGGAAGAAATTCTACTACAATAATTGTGTCATTGCAGCATTATAATGGAAGTAGTGACTTTGGAAAATTTTCTACAAGCAAATTTTAGAGACTTAAGCACATTTCCTATAGTTGAGTAGGCCTCCAGTATTCACAAAGGCTTTCCATGTGCTTTATCTCCCTTGTTCAAACCATGAATCCTAAGTGTTGGGTAATGTTGGAGGCATGCCTTCACATCACCAGGGGCCATGAGGCTAACATGTTCACACTTGTGCTCAAAGTGTCACAATTGGTTCCAATGGTGGAACTAATGCGGTTGAAGGGGGGGGGGATTATATCACAGCTAAAGGTGTTCAAATTCAGATTTTCAAAAGCAACTCATAGTCAAAACATGCTAGATTCAACCAAAGATTCACAAGTTTGACAACTCTCAGTCAAAAGTCTTGGCAGTAACATCTTTATGAACAAGCCCAATGAACAACACTGGAAAATAAAGCCTTGGATAGCACCAAAACAAGCCTCATTCCTGTCTATGGAAGGCAGTGTTTAAAATCAGTACTGTCTCAAGCTAGATCATACAAAGTTTGAAGACTGAAATCCTTTGGTTAATACTATCACCCATCCTTTAATTTGTTCAATTTTTTCCTGTCTCATCCCAAATTCTTAACTTTATGCAAGTTTTTTTTGGGGGAGAGCTGTCCCAAGATTTGAACTCAGAGCCTCGGTGCTGTCCTGAGCTTTTTTGCTTAAGGCTAGTGAGTGCTCTATCACTTGAACCACAGATCCACATCCAGAAATATTTAGAAGTACAGTAGCTTTGTGCGCTTTTCTTGCCATATTACCTGATCCTCTTCCTGAACCTTTCAATTCTGGCCCACTCATCATAGCCTATGACATAAAAAATATGATCTTGGGCTGGGAAGGTGGCTCAGTGGTAGAGCGCTTGCCTTGCATGCCTGAGGCCCTGAGTTCGATTCCTCAGCACCACATAAGCAAAAAGAAAAAAGCCAGAAGTGGCGCTGTGGCTCAAGTGGTAGAGCGCTAGCCTTGAGCTGAAGAGCTGAGGGACAGCACCCAGACCCAGAGTTCAGGCCCCACGACCGGACCCCCCCCCAAAAAAAAATATGATCCTGAGACTCGACAATATGATGCCTTCCATACCTTACTGTATGATTTCTTTCTTTTTTTTTATTGTCAGTCATGGAACTTGAACTCAGAGCCTGGGTGTTGTCCCTGAGCTTTTTCGATCAAGGCTAGTGCTCTTCCACTTGAACAACAGCATCACTTCCAGCTTTTCCTGAGTTATTAGAGGTGAGTCTTTTCTGTCCAGGTTGGCTTTGAACCGAGATCTTCAGATCTAAGTTTCCTGAGTAGCTAGGATTACAGGTGTTAGCTACCAGCACCTGGCTATTGTGTACTTTTTAGTTATCTTCCCAGTAAAGATAATGTAGTTCATGGAATTCCTTTCCTTCGACTTGGCCTTTCTCTCTTCCTCCCTTCTTCCCTCCCTCCCTCCTTCCCTCCCTCCCACTTCTCTTTCTTACTCTCACTCTCTCTTTCAATCTCTCTCTCTGTCTCTTTCTTGTGCTTGCTGTGGACATAAAGAGTCAGTTATCTGGAATCAGGGGCCAGACTACTGAATTAGAGAGTTGAGCATGGTACAGAGAGAAGAGAGTGAGGATGAAGGTGTATGTGGTCTGTGACTGTGACATCTCTTTTTCCAAGCTATACAACCTAGACAGATAACCAGACACCCTCATCTGAACACTGGATGGCCATGTGAGTTTCTTTAAGACAGACAAAGGTCTATAACTCTGTTCTTTCTTTGTGGAATGGAAGGGCTTTGTGATGTCACTTCTGTGAGGCAGAGATGACAAAGTCTAGAATCTGGAAACATTAGGTTTAACACCCAGGAGGCCTAGCTCGAGGGATGGATATTAAGATTTAGATCATGTTGGGCCCTACGTTTGTTCTGTGGGATGTGGGATCTCCCTTATATACCTATGGATCCATCTTCATTATTGCATTAATTATTTGGCAAGTGAAAAAGAGCCGCCAAGAACTAAGATCAGAGCATAATAAGACCTGTTGCCAGGTAGGTACTATGACCAGGCCTAAATGGACAAGCCCTCAACAAGGTTTATCTCTTCCCTTTCTCATAGTTTTGCCCCTTGATTTTTAAAATTTATTTTGGTACTAAGGTTTGAATTTATGGCCTGACACTTACTAGGCAATTACTTTACCATTTGAAACACATCTCGACTCCTTTTTGTTTGGGGTTATTTTCAGACGGGTTTTGCTTCGTCTCTCAGGGCCCAGCTCAAATCATGATCTTCCTGATCTTTACCTCCCAGTAGCTGGGATTACAGACACAATCCAGTATACTCATCTCATTTTTTTGTATGTTTTTCATGATATTAGAGATTGAACTCATGGCTTAGCGCCATGACCATACCCATCCATTTTGTTACTAAAATAGGGTCTTACTTTATCTAGGTTGGCCTCAAACTTGTGATCCACTTCATGAGTAGATTATAAGAATATGCCACCACGCACAGCACTCTTTGATTTTTTTGAGGATTTCCTCTTTGGGTCCCAGGATAGCTCCTAATTTGGGTCATGAGCCTAGTTGGTGTCCATTTTAGGGCCTTTGATGACTAAAATCATTTCCTTAATAGTATCATCCATCCTTTCATTTGTTCAATTTTCTCCTGTCTCATCCCACACTCCCCACAGAATTTGTCCAGAGAATGAAAGAAAAAGTTATAGAGGGGGCTGGGAATGTGGCTTAGTGGTAGAGTGTTTGCCTACTTTACATGAGGCCCTTGGCTCCACTCTTCAGTACCATATAAACAAAATATAATAATAATAATAAATTTAAAAAATAAATGCTGAGCTGGAAACGAGTATATGATTCATATTTTTAAAGTATATGGAGGAGCCTTAAAGTGAGCCAGAAATAAGTAAAGAAGGAAACAATTAAGGTAAAAAAGAAAGGGCATGAAAGGAAAATAGGACTGTCTAAATTGGAAAACAGAAATATTGGACATGTTTATAGAGTTTGTATTTTAAATATGAAAGAATACTATTCTAGCTTCACATTCTGTTTTTGTCTTTAAGCGTCACCGAAAAGTCAAACAAAGATCTAGAGATAGAACATCAAAAGGTAAAGTCACTATCTCTCCTTAGACTCCCTTCTACTTGGGTGAGGTCCCCATAGAGCCCAACGTTCTGTGAAACCTAGTTCCAGAATCCAGATGCTACTAATCATTGAAGGCCTCAATGACAATTGCTAAATGGAGACTCACTTGGGTGGGAATCAGTATCTAGGAATATTCCAAATGGTTCTCTCTTGCTTTCCCAAAAATGAAGAATGAGGAAGTAGAGATGTTACTGTGTTCTTTGATAGTTTTACAACCCTATGGAAGTCCCTTCATTTCTCAGTCTTCTTCTTTACATTATGGGCTTAACACTAAAGATCCTGCCACCCTTATCACGTGGTTATAAAAGATCAAGTGAGATTATCTATGGGATAGCAAGTTGTGAATAGTTCAGTTGTTTACAGATGTGACTTAGACTACAGATGTGATTATAGATTACCAGTCTCCTCTCAAAGGCCTTCAGCTTCCCATAGGATGCCCTGAATCCTTTCCTGTTCTATATAACATTGTGTCCTGGTTCTTCAGCTCAGATAACATCCCAGGAAGAGGCAGAGAAGCTTCGGAAGCTGCTCTCTGTCATGAAAAGGTAATCTCTTGCTCTTTTCAATCTCCCAACTCCCTCTCTGGCCTATGATGAATTCTTGGCCTGGCCTCAAGCAGGGATGAAGAGAGGAATAATGCCTGGAAGGGAAACATATGTAGAGGAGGCTAAGTGTCTGGTTGAGAGGGTTGCTAGAGCAGAGTCAAGTGAGATGTCTTAAGAGGGAAGAATCATCATCCAGTTCTACTCTGTGCTAGGGTCACAGTAACTCTGCAGTTCAGGATCGACAGCACATCATTTGTAAAATACATCACTGGAGTTCATACAACTATGAGACAAGTTATCCAGTCAAGAGAATGGATTTTGCATAAAGAAGTCACACTGTGGGCTAGGAACGTGGCTCAGTGGTAGAGCGCTTGCCTTACATGCTTGAGGCCCTGGGTTCGATTCCTCAGCACCACATAAGCAGAAAAAAAAGCAGGAAGTGGTGCTGTGGCTCAAGTGGTAGAGCACTAGCCTTGAGCTTGAAGAGCTGAGGGACAGCACCCAGGCCCAGAGTTCAGGCCCCACGACCAGACCCCCCCAAAAAAAAATAAAAAAAAAGAAGTAGTCACACTGTCATATTCTCTTTACAATTACACCCTTTCAAGGGCAGACTACTACTAGGTGTGCCTAGAACCTGCTCACTTTACCTCTTCTGGTCTATCTTCACTTCCAAGGATAGTCTAAAGCCTATCATCTTCTCTCTTTAAGATTTCTAGAGAATGGACTCAAATGATCACAAACAAGACCATACTAAAGCTACTAGCACAACTATGTTTATTACAGCATTATTTATCATAGCTAAGACATGGGGCCAACCCAGATGACCCTCAGTAGATGAATGGATCAAGAAAATTCAATATATATATATATATATATATATATATATATATATAAAATGGAGTTCTATGCCTCCATCAGAAAGAATGACATTGCCTCATTTGTTAGGAAATGGGAAAACTTGGAAAAAATTATATTGAGTGAAGTAAGCCAGGTTCAAAGGTCCTGTGGTTTCCCTTATTTTCAATAACTAGTATATGTCTGGGACAAGCAGAAAAGGTCAAAAGCTATGTACATATGACCAGATAAGATGATGTTAAGTGAAATGAACACCAAGATAGGGACACAAGTGTTTTTTTCCCTTGCTATTGTTTCTAACGTATTTATAATGTACCATGTGGGGTTTTTTTTTGTTTCTTTGTATGTTCCTCCCCCACGGTATAACCCTTGTTCTCACTGTATTGGATGTCGGTGCCCTCAATCTTGTATATACACTTCTTTAATTTGGGGAGGGGAAGGGAAAAAACAAAATGCTTAAATAGGGACATAGGGATACAGGTTGACCCACTGTAATAATGAGATGTACAAGACACTATGTTGAAAAACGAACTTTACAGTTTAGGTGGGGTAGGGGGGAGTGTAGTTGTGGAGGTGGGAGGGAAGGGATGGTAGGAGAAAAACAAAGGAGGAGGCAACGATGCTTGATAGGAAATGTACTCATTACCTTGCTCATGTAACTATAACCTTTCTATACAGTATTTTTATAATAAAAATGTATTAAAAAGATTTCTAGAGAATGAGACTGATTGTCAATGGGTACGGATAGTAGCAAGGACATACCATAGTTCTTGGAATGAGGACTTCATTCCCCACAGTTTGAATGCCTAGGCTTCAGGATGTTTTTTAATTTTTTTATTTTTATTGTGAGAATACCGTACAGAGGAGTTACAATTGCATGGGCAAGATAACGAGTACAAGCATTGTTGCCTCCTCTTTGTTTCCCCTTCCCATCCTTATCCTAGATACTTAGCCCAGCCCTTCAAGCATTCAGGAGGTGTACTTCTAGAACTTGTTGGGCTCGGGGTGGGGGTGGGGTCACCGTAGCAATCTCAGTCACAGGCTTCCAAGGAGGCAGATGCCCTTCACTGTTAACAGTTGCATGATTCCCTTCCCAGCCAGGGCTGGCTTCCTCAGGAGGGAAGCGTTCGGCGGGTCCTGTGTGCAGATCCTGGCTGCCAAATCTGCAATGCCATGGCTCTGGAGATTCAGCAGTTGCTGTCTGGTGAGAGCAAGGACTTCCCTTCTTTATCAGGGACATCACAAGTCCATGAAAGGTCCATGTCAAATAGGTCTTTAAAGAAGAATCAGGAGCTTTGTTCGCAGCCCACCAGAGAACATTCACCTGTACCAAGCCACACAGTGCCACAATTAATGGATCAGAAATCTTTAACTAAGACTACTGCCCAGGCAAGTTGTGCTATCAGTGTCCAATATCACTGGCCTGATTATCTCCAACGAGTGCAAGGATTTCAAGTACCAAGTGTATCTCAGGATGTAGGAGCTCTATCTTCTTCAAGTCTTGAGGAGCCTGGGATTCCTGAGAGTCAGCATAAGAGGAAGAAGAACAACTCCACATCTGTCCAGAAGAACCAAGGTCAGCAACTCTAAATGCTAGGTTCCCTCTCCTACTTTGGACCCAGAATTCCTGAACCTAAAACACCCTCCTACAACCTCACATCCTTTCACCTGTAATTACCATGTCTAAAAGATGCTTTTAAGTAGGAGGGTAAAGTGGATACATTTCCACATTGAGGACTTCCATGATCTGTAGGATGAGTCCCATGGCAGCTTGAACCCCACATTTTCAAAGCCTACAAAACAATCATGTCTTTGGCCTTTGCTGAAAAGATGAGATTTCATTCCCTTCCCTCTAAGGCTCATGGATGGTTAGCCAGTTAACCATAGAGCAGAAATATCATGAGCAAATTCCAAACCCTATTTCATGGTTCTGGCTCTACCCTCTCCACCTTTTGGCTTTTAAGTGTCCATTTCCTGGAGTCCACATATGACCTCAGTGTGCCATCTCTGGGCAATGTTCTTTAGTTGATATTTTACTGGTTGCTCCTAGATATAGCTCCACAACAGGGGAGCCCTGGACCTTTTCTCTTCAATGGTTTCTCCTACATCTCTGTACTGCCTAAAATTTCCTCCATTTCACTGTGTCACAGCTTCTTCTCCTACATTCCCAAACTTGGGCTTTTCCATCCAACCATCAATAAGCTCAGATCAATGTCTCACTTCTAAGTATGAAGTCTGAGGATAGCACTTGCTATTGAGTTGCTATATCCTGTGGGGCCTACCAGTTTCTAGAGATCTTTGTAGATGCAATGTAAGTTCTGACACATTCTGCAGCCTGTGCCAAAAGACAGAGTCCTCTTGTCCTGGAGCATGCACAAAGATTGCTAGAATTCTATCTCTAGAAATAGTTGAAATGGTTGATTGATCATTTCTGGGGCTTTCCTGCAAAGTGGCAGCAGTCTATCCCAGTTGCCCCTGCCCAGGAATAGCACATCCTTGATCTGATCTGATTCCTCAGAAGCCAGTGAGGACAGTGACCTATGCTGATACACTTTGGCAGCATGGCCAGACTACAGTTGCTTTTTCAGGCCAAAACAATGTGGCAGAGCCATATAGATTGTAAATGTGGGAAGAATGTTAGGCTATCATCCCTGCCTCCATTTGTAGTTGCTGGGCTGCAAATCACTTGGTATACAGTACTCCAGGGGCCCTGATAGCAACTCAGTTCTCCAGCCCTCTAGAAAGCAGGCCCCTAAGCCTGGAGGCAGAAATCAGCTCCCTACACAGATCAGGAAGTAGCTCCATGAATACAACAGGCCTTAGCCGGCAGTGAGCGTTTTCACAGATGCTGTTACTAATGACCCTGATCTGCCTGTGCCTTGTCTTAAGGAACCATTAAGAAACTGGAGATTTAAAAAAAAAAAGAAATTGGAGATTAAGTTTTCCTTCCTTCCAGGACTGCCTTTTCTCTATTTCGTGTCTCTTTCCAGCCCTTGGTTTTGGCAATTACTAACTAATCTTAAATCACAGGTAATGCTTAGGCCCATCAGAATAACTCTATCTTATCTGAACAGCACTGTATTAAGTTCTGGGCCATTCAAGATGCCAGTAGTTGAGGTGTATTCAAGGTGCCAGTGAGACCTGTATGGACAGTGTAAAAGGGTAAAGTACAGAGAGTGGAGATGGGAGATGGTACTTCTAGAGAGCCAGATGGAGCCTGACATCCCCCAATCACTCTATCCAAACTAAATTTCAATCTGAAAAAAGAAATCCTTAGAGATACATTTTGAGAAGTCTCATAAAGACAGAAGGGAACAAATTTTTTGCCATCCCAAGGAATACTCTTCATAAGAGACTTTATGTGGAGGATACAACCAAGGGGAAAGCATTGCTCCAGAAGCTCCCTACTCAATCAAGTACCCCACATCCCCAGGTACAGAATGGCTGCTTAAAAGAACCCTTGCAAACAACCTAAAGACAGTACAACAGAGATGATGGTAACCTAGTTCCAAAGTTCTGTCCACTAGGCCTCCAAGATCTCATTACCCAGTGAGGCCCAAGTACTTTGTGTATAGATAGAAACCAAAGTGAACAGCCCTATAAAATCCTTAGGCCCTCGCCCAGGGAATCATGGACCCAAGTATCACAGAAAGAGCGGTGTAGTACTGGTACTTTCCCTAGCCAGAGGAAACACTCTGTTCAGGTTCAAGGGCCATTAGGGAGAACCTGAGAACCCCTTACTTCCAATATATTTGGAAGAACAGAACTTTAGTTTAGCCAACATAGTTGCCTTCAGCAAATAGAGACTGTCAAGGATCTGGCTAATCTGCAGAACCACTATCTCTGTTTCTCTCTGATTGCTATTTCCTGCCAGTACTTTTGCCTCCAGAATTCCTTACGGACAACAAAACTAGATAGGAGTGAACTGAATGTCCATTAGAGAAAGCTGAATGGTATCACCCAAATAACAATTCCTGTAAATTCCCAACCCAAGGTGCCCAGGCCTTACAGGGCCAAATTATTGGGCCACCATTTGATGGGACAAATGAGTCCAGTATTTTGAAGGGACCACATGTTTCAAATCCAAACTTTTGAAGGTCAAATGTTTCAAGGCTATGGTTCCTAGGGCAAAAACTGGCAGGGCC